GGGAGATGCTGTAAATGAGATGTACAGAATGGAGCAGAATAGAAGGTAATTCTGTAGTGATCCCACAGTGGGGAAATTCCCACCTTCAGCAGAAAAAAGGGAAAAGCACAAGCCTAGTGGAGGCATTAAAAAATGTAATTTAGGAGAGTTTTTTCATAAGTGCATCTCCTTCTCTATCCGTCTTAAGAAAAATATGTTATTAGTCTTTGGGGAAAATGGGTTGATATATAAAGTCTGAGCGGACAGATTTAGTAGAAGTGCGTTATTAGTCTCCCAGTTTGTCGAGCATCTGTATCTGGTTTCTTTTTCCACTTTCTCTCCCACTGAGTACCAAATAATACACATATAATATACTGCTGTTAATAATGTACATTTTTGGTTGTCTTTGTTTTGTTTATGTCCTTAATCTCCCATATTGTTCCTAGTTTGTATAAACCTTGTTCATGTAACAAAAAAAGACAGCTTTGACCATTCATGTTGTAACTGTTTTGCTGACTGAAAAATGGGGGGCCACCCCAGAGCTGGTGGTCTGACTCACCATCACTTCTCCCAGCCTGCAGCTGAAAGGCGTGTCTCGAGGCTCTCCCACCCGCCGGATGAGGACACACACCTCCCTGAGAAAGCAGCTGTGCAGCTCCACCTCTGAACATCTGCCCACAGCAGCATGGGGTCAACGGGCAGGCCTCCGCTCAGCCCAGCTCTAAGCAGCACAGCCTCTCACCTGAGCGTCCAGCCCCCTGCCCTCAAGTCTCCACACAGCTGGGAGAACCTGGAAACCAACTGGTGTCCCTCCTCCAGAGCTTCAGGGCACACGCTGGTAGCTGCACACAACCAGGCCCACATGTCACAACACATGGTGGCAAGGGGGCTAACATTTGATGTGATCCACACATGGATTTACCTGGCAACCCAGAAGCTTTTTAAAAAAAGCGAAGCTCTGCTGTGGATTTAGTCTGAAATGAGCCTTTAGGAACTCTGGCTGACTGAGTGGGAGATAGACCGTTTTTTTACATGAGTCCTCTGACCTATGTGCCAACTTTCCCCTTTGGTCATTTAGTTCTACTGATATGGAGCCACATTAAAGGCCTTTAAAAGATAAAAGCCAACAGCACGAGGGTTGTACAGACTTCAGTTAGTCTTTATTTTTCATTTAAGGTCAAATCAGTTCATTTCTCCATCTCAAACTGAGCTTTTGAAAACCCAGCAGTGACGGCCGATTCCTGGATTCTGCTCAGTTCTGAAGACTTCCAGTCAGGCTAAGGCTGTTCAGAGGGACTCTACAGATGTCTACCTCTGTCCACGATTAGTAACCGAGGCCAAAAGACACACGTACCTTCCTCAGTGTCGGGGAGTGAGGCGTCTCTTGTCTTTATCTCCAGAGAGACCTCAATCCCAGCAGAGGCCTTGTAGATGAGAGTCACCAGGGTCTTCAAATGCAGTGGCACATGGAGAGAGAAGACCCTGGACAAGGGCAGATTGGACAGACCAGGTAGATGCTGGTGCACTTAAAAGCCCACAGCTGGCAGCATTTGACTTCACGTTTATCAAGACTGTGATTAGGAGGAGTCTCTAGATGACATTTGCTGGCTCGCTGCTATGACAGTAATCTGGACTAACACAAAAGTGTGTGTGTTGCTTCCCTGTCTTCCATTGCACCCCATAAAGAATGAGCTTTAAGAACAGAAAGACATACGTGGCACAGACGGGGGAGGTTAGAGCTGCGGGGAGGAGTCCCTCCAGCTGCAGTGAGCAGCCTCCTGTCCACGCATCGTCTGTGCAGCCTGAGCTCCTCAGCCAGCCCCCCCCCTGCAGCTGCAGGTGGTAGTACCTGGGCTGGATCTCCTGTGCAGTCAGATTCAACCAGCTGCTCCTCGTTTCACACTGCAGGACACCGAGCAAGAAAACAACTCCCTCTCACAGCAGGCTGAGCCCAGACAGAGAGCACCAACCTCTGCTCTAGCTTTTCAAGAAGCTGCAACGGCCCACCAGAGCCGGGGGGGGGGTCTGCTAGCAGCAAATCAGGGGCTGCCTTTTGGAGCTCTTTTCTAATTCGTCAGAAACTAAATCAACTGTGTATCCCTGGTTCTTCTGGGGGAGAAGAACCAGGCATAATCCTCAGCATGAGCCTCTCCAGCCAGGTCCAAAGAGAGCAGCTCAGACCAGACTCTGAGGATACTTTTCCTAATTTTCAAAGTAGAAATCTTTAAAGAAACACAGATGAGCCTTGCTGTCTACAAATACTGCCCATTGTCCTTGGGCCTGGCGCGTACCTGTCCTCTCCAGTAGACTGCCTTCCCAAAGCCCTGGCAGAAGGAGGAGGTGAAGGGCAGCTGAGAGGCTGGACGGTGGACGTACAGCGAGTCAGACAGTAGAGCCCAGAACCTGCAGGACAGAGCACACTGTCTTTGTGTTCCCGTGCTTAGGGCCGTGCGCTGCTGGGGACGGGGCTCACTTGTCTTGGCTCTGGCAGAACTGGCTCTTGTCACTGGAGGTTTCGTAGACCCAGCCTGGAGCAAAGATGGCTGCAGAGAAGTTGTGCCTCCGAATGACTTCCAGAGCCTGTGGGAGCAAACCGAGACCTGCACGGTCAGTTTACTGACATAAATAGTGTCCACAACAACCAAACATGAGAGCAGCACACACACTCCCAAAGAAGGGCTGGAAGACTACAGCTCAGTCAGTGATGGGATCTGGTCGTGTGTGTGCACGGCTCTGAAACCCACGCGTCCCCATCCCCTCATGCTCTGCGTGTCATGCTGCTTTTTCTGAGCTCACTGACTGCCAAAATGTGTTACCTTATTTGTCTCCAGCATCCCTCCCACCACCTTTCCTCTGGCAAACACATCCACCCCCACATAGATGTCGGCCTGGCGGCCCTGAGCCCCCTGGTAGTCCTTCATCCACTCCAGGTTCTCCTCAGTCCAGTTGTAGTTTGTGAAAAAACCATCACAGGCATCGAAAAACACCCTGCAGCAGAGAGATGAGTCAGCCACCCGTCCACATGAGCCCCCCCTTCACACAAGCGTCCCACCTGTTGGACTGGTTGAGCTCATTCTGCCACTTGAGCTGTCCATCCTCCGTCACACTGTCGTACCACAGCACCAGGCTGCCGGACACCCGCTCGTGCATCTGCTCGGACAGGTAGCGCAGGAAGGGAGGCGTCCTCTTCACCGCCGCCTCCTGCAAACCCAGCCAGCACAGGAGCAGCTCAACAGGCACTCACAGCTGCCCTTAGGGCTCCGGGATGCTCCGTAAATACCCCGCTCACCTGGATCTGCCCCAGTGCAAGAGCCCGTAAGAATGAGATGAGGTTTTTATGCTCTGACATGTAAATGGGAGGAATTTCCATCACCGTCAGGAAGCTATAAAGAATGATCAATCAGCAGAATGGGTGCTCAAACCTGACATATCTGGTCTGTATAATAGTGTTTTTAACCTCCTGAGAGTCCAGCTTTGATCTGGTTCTGCTCTGTTCCAAATCTCTGGATCAGTAGGAGCTGCTAAGTTTAAGAAATAGACTCTGTCCTGGTACAGGTACTTTTTCTTCATAGTGGGTTTATCTTTAGATTGAAAATGTCTGTTTAGATGTTTAATTTAATTTGGTTCTGAGAGCCCAAATGACTTATTTACAACATTTTAATTCCACAATAAGAACATGATTGGTCTAAAAGCATTTTCCTTTAGATTTCAAACAGTAGTGTCTGATAGTGTCTGCAATCGGGCCAAGAGGTCAAAGGTCAAAGAAAATGATGGATCCCACACAAATGAAAGGCATCTGTCATATTTCCCGTCAGCTGTCCTGCTGTGTGGGCTCCAGTTAAAGTGGTGACTATCAGAAGCATGGCCAGGGGTTCGACTCTGGAAGGGGGGGCATGCTGGACAGGGCAGCACTTCAACTGTGCATGTGCTGTTGTGCGTGTCTGCAAAGAAGTCTTACTCACACTGAGGACGTTCTCTATGTTGACCAGCCAGCCATCAAAGCCATAACACAGGCTGATCTGGACCAGTTTGTCCGCCACGGCCCTGTAGGACTCCTCGTCTTTCAGGAAGGCCTCGCACACTGCAGCGCCCTCGCTCCACTCCGTGATGAAGGTCCCTGCGCAGCAGGCCAGCAGCAACACAACACTTGGTGAGAGATGGGAGGTCTGGGCACAGGCTGACAGTGTGGTGGCCACTGGGATCGGCCAAAGCTTTCACTCAAATATTCTATACTCCTAAATATTCTACTGGTAAACCAAGAGAAGGCCAGTCTACACACACGGCCTTCCATGCTGCGGGAGAATGTCTGCTTAGACTGGGATTGGTTTGGCCCTGGTTTGGCCATTACACTAGCATTCAGCTAAAAGAGACCCATCCTAAAACCCTGACACCAAACAGACCCAAATGTTTCTGTTTCTGCATTCAGACGCTTTTCTCCAAAGCGACTCCCAAAGCAGAGCCAGTGTTCCAGCTCTCATCAGTCTGACAACCAGCTCTCTGGAGGGAAAAAACCCAGTCAGAGTCAGAGGAGACAGGAGGAGATAGAGGGAAGCCCAGAGAGAGGAGTAGAGGGTCCAGAGGTCTGGAGGAGTTAGGATAGGAGCTGCTCTGTGGGGGTCTGGAGTAGGAGTTAGGATAGGAGCTGCTCTGTGGGGGGGGGGGGGGTCTGGGGGGGTTTCTGGAGGCAGACAGGGAGCTGCTGTAGCTCCCTCCTCCATCTTGGAGCAGCAGCGGGAAACAGTCTGATTGGCTTAACTGCTGGACCACAATCCACTGAGGACCGCAGGGACCCAGACATGAGCCTCTGAGGGGGTTCAGGGAGACGGGGGCCGTCCCCTTCAGCCCTTTGGAGGACAGCATCAGGCACTTGAGTTTGATGTGGGCAGCCGGGGTAACCTGGAGCAACCAGGAGTAACTAGGGGTAACCAGGAGTAACTAGGGGTAACCAGGAGTAACTAGGGGTAACCAGGAGTCACCAGTGAACAGAGGGGGGACATGAGACATATAAAAACATATCAAATACCAGTGTTGTTGTGCTTAACTGGGCCCACAGTCAAGTGTAATACTCCTACAGCTATGATGCACACAGGCCATGTAAAATGAAATCACTTAATAAGTCCACATGAGAACACGTAGACCCAGCAGCTCCTCAAACATGTCAGGCCCACATTTACACGCATCTTCATGACAAAGAACATGGCAATATGCTGAAGAATGGGGGGGGGCAGCATCATGATGTGGGGACTGATCCATGGATGCTGCTAAACAGCGAGATTCTTAAGGAAAAATCTGTGGCCTGATGCAACACAAGGAGCTGCAGCAGTGCGTGGTCCATGGAGACGTGTCTGAACACTTCACGTTAAAGGAACAACATAAAAGTAGCAACGTTGGAGGAAGGATGAGTACTTTTGCAAGCTCTTGCTATTTTGGGCATGAACTGTTGATTTGTGCTCACCAAGAACAATGACTCCATGTTTGTGTGCAACATTGGTCCACGCAGCAGGTGGAATAGTGACCAACTGATGGGTGAAGTAGTTGAATATATCTATGTGCTGCCAGTGATAGAAGACAAATGGATTCTCTGTGTTTGTGCCCTGGACAAACCTTAAAAAGAGAGCAAAGCATTACACATTATCAGCTATCTGTGCATCCATGCATTTCCTATAGCACGTATTTGCAATAGAGCTGTGGGGGGGCTAAGCCGGTAGCCCTCTAGCTGCTGGACGGCGGTGCTGACCGCACCTTGCAACCACTAAACCTTGTGTAAGAAGTAGAAAGTGTTCATCTGACCCTTAAAGGCGCCCATACCTGTCGTCCAGGTATCCGCCCATCATGTCATGGGACACCAGGGTCCGACGTGGACAGCTGGCCAGAGGAGGCTCCCGAGGGGCCAGAGGGACTGCCGCCACATTAAAGGGATTTGCTTCACTCCGTCCCCATGACAACAACTCCTCCAATGTGCGAAGGCCGCAGCTGATTGGCTCGGTGGTGTCTGCATGGTAATGTTTGGCTGAACCAGCAAACAGAAAACAGCAGCTTGAGGAAACCCATGGTGGAGACATGGTGGACACTTCAGGCTGTCAGTGGGCATCACCTGACCTGGCAGGGGGGAAGGTGTGTACCTGATGACCTCAAGAACGCTGGAGCCCACGGGTTGGTCCAAACAGGACTCCGACCTAGTGAGACACAACGGGGTGTAATGAGCTCCATGCAGGCTGCTTAAGGAAACAGACTATCTGAGGAGCTTTGGTTATCTGTACATCAGAAACGTGCCCATCCTTTTTACTCAGGTGGGATGTGTCGAGAACCTGGCTAATCCACTTGGAAAAGCCATAATTGTGTCATCTCAGATTGGCCGTCGAGATTTGCACTGAAACTAAAACTCTAGGCTGCTTTGCCTCTGCTGGCCGACACTGACTTTTCACATATCACTTTACCACTAAATTATTTCACTGTGCCATTTAGAAATGCTAAATTCTACAGTACTACCTATAAAAGCTACTCATAAAGAAAGCAGGAGCAGAAGATGACCCAATGATTCTGAAGCTTTCTTTAAAAAGCCGTAGTGGCTTATCCAGAGGGATGATAAGTAGAGAGCATCTCTCATGTTTTCATTTACAACTGTCTATGACAGACATATTTAAGATCATGAAGGATGGAAACTGCAACTTGTCCCAATCCTCAAACGCCATTAGGAACCCTTAAAGCTGCACACACAATAAGATAGTTATGCATTCGTCGAAAGTTTCCATCGGTTGTGCTGGACAGCATATAACAGTGGCTGAAACAAGCAGTGCGTCCAGGTAAAGTTTGCTCCCAAAAGCAGCCTTAAAACTGCTGACTCATGACAGTCAGCCAGGGACATTTCTCTGGGTACAGTACCGGCTGGGTTCGCTCTGGCCTTCTCTGTCCGCCCTGTTCCCCGGTTGGAAAGCGCTTAGCGACATTTTTGGACTTGTTTGACAGCAGAGCAGGAAACAGAAACGCCAGTTCAACCGGAAGCTGTTTCCACGTCTCCCTTCAAAGTAAAGCAGGAAGTCGGCACATTAGAGATAGATAGATTAAAAAAAATAAAGAAATAAATGTTTCTGACTTATCTATTAAAAAATGGGATTTTTCATTACCAAAATTGGCCAAGAACTTGCTGGTTTATTTATTATGATTGAAACATTACTGGATGGTTTAGAACTAAATTTTTGTCACTTAGACATTTAGATATAAGTAGAAAGGACATGTTACAGATGTTACATGTTACAGTTGATTAGCAGTTTATCTTCGCTGCTTGTTTGAGATAAACTCGTAGACCTCTATGAACCATGAAATACGCCCTCACGTAAACCCAGATGGACAAAGGAACCAACCTTTTGTTGTTGTGTGGGACCAAGACTGTTTGTTAGGAGAAGATTAGTCTCTAATACAAAACAACAAGAGCAGGGAGATTATGGCAAAGATGGCCCCCAAAACAGTGACCCGTAGCTCCTGAAATTTAAACCTCACAATCTTCTGGTTTACATGGATACCAAATTAGAGGGGATATTGTTTGCTATAAGGGATAAGCACGTGTTGAAACCTTGCATAGTTTAACTGATCAAAGGAAGGACAAAGACACCCGTTTCGGTGCCATTGTTGTTTGGTGGGGCATCTTCACCGATACGCTCTCTAACGGAATCCATCCCGGAAGTGACGTCCGACGTGTTGAGCAACGTCCTAACATAGAGAAGCAGCGGTAGGAGCGAGTCCAGCCGAGCTCAACCGTTAATGGAAGTACGCGAAATCCATCTTCATCCGTGAGGACTGAACTGCTGCCGACAATAAGAATAGCAGGAGCAGAAAGTACACTCTTCAACCTTTCGAACAAGCGTCGTATTGGCGCAAAATGATATCAGCAATATTTTAAAAAAAGAGGCGAAAGATTGTCAGAGCTGACTTTCACCCGGAGACAACGTACCGAAGAGCAATTTCTTCTTTCTGATAGTTTTTTTTGTCCGTGAGTCGGATCATTTTCCCACTAAGCCCTAGTTTTAGGATTCAGCATCATTTGGTTATTTTTGAGCTAGCGAGCGTGCTTGCTAGCCTGTCACAGATTGCTTACAATGGAGTTGAGAGTAGGAAACCGATACAGACTGGGCAGAAAAATTGGAAGTGGGTCGTTTGGAGACATCTATCTCGGTAAGTGACTGTCCCGAAAACGTGTAAAAGCGTTTACCAGTGGTTCTGTTTATGTAAATGTGTTGGCTAAATGTGTAAGAGGTGCCCAGCTGGTTCCCTTTCCGGTGTGTCTCAAACCCAGTCAGCTGTTTGGTGGTGAACGTTAGCTGGCTAGCACAAAAGCAGCTAGCGGGAGCATCAACTGTCTGAAATGATCCCGGCAAGAGCTCGGTTTTCCCGACTCTAAATTCCCGGGGTGTTACATAAACCCCCTGAGCTGGAGGTTGCTTTGCGGCTGTGTTATTAGCCGTGCTCCCCCCCTCAATCCGCGGTAGTGTTGCACCGACTAAGCCAAAGTCTTCATGGTGAGTTTCTGGTGTGTGTGTGGCTGGACTCCAATGTGAAAGGGAGGCATGAGCTGGACCCCCCGCCTCCCTTTCACATTGGAGTCCAGCCATGTGTTTGGAAGCCACCCCGGTCCCACTAAAGGGTCATGGAGGCCCACGGAAGCCCCTCACCCCTGATAAATGTGGAGGCTCCGGTTGTGAGCCCCACAGCGGCATGTGATGCCCAGCTCTGCTGCTCAGCTCCTTTAGAGGCGGGCCAGGATAAGGTTCCATATTTATCCCGGGCTATTTGGAGCCGAAATGCAAACTTAACATGCATTGAGTTGGTAAAAAAGAGCCACGTTGAAATCACATTGATATGAACATGCTCACCTGGTACCACCTGGCTGAGGAGGCACATTTCTGGAGATCTGTAAAGACCAAATTCATACACTAGTGAGCCTCCACATGCCAATTAGATGTTTTGCTTGTTCTGCATGTTTTGGGGGAGGTTATCAACTGGTATACATGCTTGTGCCGCCTAAAACTAAACTAAATGTTGTATTAATGGGTTTTTGTGAATTTGTGTCAGTTAAGAGTGCGTTGACTTGGAGAATCGTGCTGATTACAGCCACTGTGACGTGTGGATCTGAAAGCAGGAACCACTGGCCTTTGCTGTTTTAAAGAAGCTCGGGTTTCCGGTTACTGAGGCCAGCCGTATGTGAGAGCAATGTGCAGCCAGTGTTCAGGTTACATCAACCCTTTCCAAAGGGGCTAGCACACTCACTGTATCTCAGACACATTCACTTTGAAAAGAGACACCAGCACCCCAGCACCACTACTGACCACCCATCAGTCCAGTACCAGTGGATCTAAGTAAGAGGCCGCCAGCCCTCCACAGGGCATGGGTAGCTCACAAATACAGTTCTACAGCAGGCGTTTGGGCTCTCTGAGCTGCTGCAGTCATGGCGGCTCAGCGTGGCGCCTGTGGTCTGATCATGCAGATAGTTTGAGACACCCGGCTTCGTTTTGCATAGATGCTGAATAGTTCACCTGTTTGGAAACGGCAGAGTGAAACCAATTGGAGTGTCTCTTCACAGAGGAGATTCTGCTTGAACCAGAGCTTTGAACAGATGTACACCCACACATGTACAGCCCCCGACAGGAGCCCAGCAGGCTGGTAGGACACGTTGTGCTTGGAAGAAGTCATTTCTGAAAGTTTTTTTGAGTGATTGCAGCAACAACAAACAACCAGTTAGATTACCCCCTGTAATCATAAACCTTGAAAGTGCCTGAAACAGGAAGTAACACCCGGGCCTAGTGGGTTTCTATTTGCCACCATGTCCTTCATAGTTGTGTCATGGTTGTCTTGTGTACACGTTTGTGATGGAAAAGCAGGCGGGCCGGGTCGTGTCGGGGCGTGTAGGCTGAGTTGGTACTAATTGGAGGCAGCATACCTTATCAGGACTTCCTCCCCACTTTGCTCCCAGGCATCTGTCTGTGCCCTGCCAGCAGCAGCTCAGCCCAACAGGTTGTTGACGCGCGTGTCCGGGTGCAGTTAGGCTGTTTTGATTACCACAGAGGAAACGCAGCCCTTTCTGCACTGATGGGAACCCACTGCTGTGTGAAAGGTGTCAGGTTTCCAGCACAGGAGATCCAGCTCCTCAGCCATGTGACCTGCTCCCTGCTCCAATCTGGTGCCTTACATAATCACTGTGTTTGTTCTTACTCAGCTCTCTGCCTTCTCCTGAGTGGCTGGTGGCTAATGTGATGTAACAATGGTAATCAGCCACAACAGTGCACGGCTTTTTCAAACCCTGCACCTGGCCGGCAGCAGATCAGGCCCTTTGTGAAGAGACCTGTTTTAGAAAGGCATTTAATAGACTAACTCAAAGACTTTAAAGCAGATGCATGTGACAAAGTGGACACAGCATAAATCGTGATGTCTGATTGTGCTTTGTCCACTGTTCAGGGGACAAAGTGTCACTGTTAGAGGGGCTTTTTCCAACAACAGCTCTAACTTATTGATTCAGTTGGCAGTTATTGAGTCCTGTTGTGTTTCCACGGAGGTTGAAGTGTTCATCTCTTCACAGTATGAGCCACGTTTGTCCAGGCGGGGCTCACTGCTGGCTTATGTTGTGTATCCCAAAGGCTGCTGCCTCTGCTTCCATCCTCAGAAAGTATATGCAGATCCCACTGACACACACGTCTGCAGTCTGATGTGGGCTTGTGTAACAGATCTTTCTCAGGTAGCCAGGTTCCAGCATGGTGTGCCATTAGAGCCCACTCAGCCCTACCCGGCCCGGCTCTACACACTTTGGGTGCTTTTCCATTACAAGTTTCAGCCAAGCAGAAAGACGGGCCGACTTGTGCGTGATGTCATTTATAGCCGCTCCGAGTTTGCGTGTCAGAGCTGAAGCTGATAGTGAGTCATTTATTCAAAGTGAGTGAGTCATTTACCAAAATCCTGACTTGTTGGTGGTTCGACCAGAGCAGCTGACATCATCTCTAGCTGATTAGTCAGACAGGTGTGCTTTCCCCCAAACCAGAGCCATGAGAACCTGTGGGATTGACAGGGTTTGCTGGTGTGTTTGACAGAAAAGTTAGCACCTCTTGTAAAGGTGTGTGTGTGTGTGTGTGCCAGTACCAGCCTGGCTCCCAGAGTGCTGCAGTCTGATTAGAACATGTGCTGGGCTGCTTCTGGACCTGTTTGCCTGACCACCCTTTGGCTTTTCACGAACCTGTCTGTTGGGATGTGTCTGAACATGCTCCACCAGCAGTGCTGCTCAGGGTAAAAAAACACTTTCAGCATTCTGCTGCACGTGAAGCACAAAGAACGGGGCTGTGTGCTGCATTCCCCAGGGAAATCTGTTCAGACAAATCCCATTCCTGGGCCACAGGGGCGTACACAAAGCCAAACGCAGCCGGCCCCACCACACATGCACTGTGGAAGGGAACCGGTCCTGATTCAGTTTGGGCCCTCTGCACACCCTGTGCTCCATCACTGTCCAGGGAGCAGAAAGCCAGCAACTGGCACTGACTTCAGCACCTCTCAGCCAAGTCCTAGTGTAAAGATCCAGCTGTTTGGAGTTTGAATGCTTTATTTATCATAGTTTACCACAGAAAAATAGGTTTTCAGCTGAGCAGAAGAAATACTGATCATACAACTTCCTGTTTCACTGTCACTATTGTATGTCTGCAGAGTTGAACATCTCTCTTTCTCTGTGGCCAGCCAGACAGACACAAACAGGAAATATTCTCCTGGGGCACTGCCAGAAGTCATATTCATTTATGTAAATGTGTGTGTTATCTTTGTCCTGCGGATTAAGCATCTTAACACCAACGTTTTCTATCCAGGGTGTCCACATGCGGGTGTACCAGGAAGGCTTCAGGCCTGGTGGGTGTCTGAATTCAGCTCATCTGTCTGTCTGTCTGTCTCTCTGTCTGTTTAGGCACTGATATCTCAGTGGGGGAAGAAGTCGCCATCAAATTGGAATGTGTGAAGACCAAACACCCACAGCTCCACATTGAGAGCAAAATCTACAAGATGATGCAGGGCGGAGGTATTGTGCAACACCACACATACAAACGCTGACCCTCATTCTGACTGCAGACTGTAGGTTACATCCATGGTGTTGTCTGCCCTCTCTGCCAGTGGGGATTCCTACCATAAAGTGGTGTGGAGCTGAGGGGGACTACAATGTGATGGTGATGGAGCTGCTGGGACCCAGTCTGGAGGATCTCTTTAACTTCTGCTCCCGCAAATTCAGTCTGAAGACGGTGCTGCTGCTGGCGGACCAGATGGTGAGAGACCACCTCTGCTTTGGCTTTTCCCTCCTCTTGGTGAAGGCGCATAGTGCTCAGCGACAGCAGCCTCACTGCTCTCCATCAGAGACAGCCGGAGCAGGAGGAGACAGGCCTCACCACGGCACCCAATCTAGAGACGTGTGTCAGAGGGGTTCAGCTTGTTCCAGCCTGAAAGGGGGAATGCTTGACAGGGAGCCTCAGCAGGGGCTCCACACACACATGGGGAGGGAGGTGTTTGGGCTATTGTTAATCAGAAAGAATGAGGAGGAACATCTGACCGGCTGCCGCTGACAGCTGTCCCAAGCCGCTCCCCCTCCGTGGTCCACAGCCGCCTGTCCTCCCGGTACTGGCCTGGTCTCTGTCAGCTGGTCTGAGGCTCCCGGTACTGGCCTGGTCTCTGTCAGCTGGTCTGAGGCTCCCGGTACTGGCCTGGTCTCTGTCAGCTGGTCTGAGGCTCCCGGTACTGGTCTCTGTCAGCTGGTCTAAGTGGCTTATCTGTGGTTTCCTGCTCTTCCAGATCAGCCGCATTGAATACATCCACTCCAAGAACTTCATTCATAGGGATGTGAAGCCTGACAACTTCCTGATGGGGCTTGGCAAGAAGGGCAACCTGGTCTACATCATCGACTTTGGTCTGGCTAAGAAATACCGAGACGCTCGCACGCACCAGCACATCCCCTACCGCGAGAACAAGAACCTGACCGGCACGGCCCGCTACGCCTCCATAAACACACACCTGGGCATCGGTAAGACCCCACGGGGCTGTGGCGGCCCTGGCCTCTGCCCACACTGCCAGGGCCGCTCTGAGCCTTCTTCCTCCTGTGCCTCCAGAACAGTCCAGGCGGGATGACCTGGAGTCTCTGGGCTACGTCCTCATGTACTTCAACCTGGGCTCTCTGCCCTGGCAAGGCCTCAAAGCGGCCACCAAGAGGCAGAAGTATGAGCGCATCAGTGAGAAGAAGATGTCCACGCCCATCGAGGTGCTCTGCAAAGGCTACCCCTGTAGGTCTAAGGCTCCGCAGCACACCGCACTGGCTGGAGGCAGACACCTCCTCCTCTCATCCACCACGGCTCTGTTTGTTCCCCACAGCTGAGTTTGCTACGTACCTGAACTTCTGCCGCTCTCTGCGCTTCGACGATAAACCCGACTACTCCTACCTCCGCCAGCTCTTCAGGAACCTCTTCCACAGACAGGGCTTCTCCTACGACTATGTGTTTGACTGGAACATGCTCAAGTTTGTAAGTACTTTCACCCTCTTTTAGTCTGACAGACTAAACTGACGCAGACTGGGAGTGTATTTTTGAGCTCGATAATACCGTGCTCACATGTCTGTGGTCACATCTGAAGTCTTCCAGGAAGCATGTAGTGAGTCATTTCACTCAGCGGCAGCACACAGACACAGAATATAAAGAGGAAGAGAGCTGAACATGGCCGTGAAGGGTTTAGGTGCATGCTCTGAACACAAGATTACCGAGGTTCCACCAGTCAGTTCTGTTCAGTTCAGTCCACCTTAACACAGACGGCAGCAGCTCATGTGTGGTCCTCTGCTGTCTCCTGCCCGGTCAGGGTGCTAACCGGGCCGTGGAGGATGCGGAGCGGGAGCGGCGGGAGCGTGAGGAGAGGCTGAGGCACAGCCGCAACCCGGGAGCCAGGGGCATGGCCTCGGCCTCAGGCAGAGCCAGGGCAGCTCAGGACATCGCAGCCCCGTCCCCACTCAACCCCGCCTCACACACAGGTCAGCACATTTCCACTCAGCCAATCAGAGCCAGCCTGGCATGGAAACCCACCCATTTTCAAAACGGGGCCACAGCTAACGTCCAGCTTCATAGTTTCTGTGATCATCAGCGTGTGGGTGGCTAATTCTGGGACCAGCACCAAAAGGCTCCCAACAGTTTGAGGACACATCCAGAGTCCAGTCGGCCCCGCTTGAACCGAATGGCTGGCTGGTTTGCTTCAGACTGAGCTGGCTGCTGTCCATTAAACCCCTTTGTGAGGCAGGGCTCAGAGCAGCTGAAGGCTGCTGCTGTGTCCTGCCCCCCCCCGCCTGCCAGCTTCACAGTGGCTGCTGCTGTGTCTCTTAGGTATGGAGAAGGAGAGGAAGGTGAGCATGCGTCTGCATCGTGGAGCGCCTGTCAACATCTCCTCCTCAGACCTGACCGGACGCCAGGACACGTCTCGTATGTCCACCTCGCAGGTAAAGCAGCAGCAGCAGCAGTACGGGGCTAACGGGCCCCTCTGACAGAGCAGGGGCCCCCGGCTCTGCTCACACTGGCTCCAGAGCAAACGCCGTTTGTCCCAGGTCAGAGGGCCCAACGGCTCCTGCTTTTACCCGCTGGAGAAAAGGGCTTTTGTAGATTGACAGAGGCGGTCTGCTAATGCTGCCCCCCTGCTGTTGGTTACCAAACTGATGAGTCAGCCTAGCCCAGCCTAACCCTAGCCCAGCCTAACCCTAGCCCACACTCCTCTGTGTGTCTGTGTGGGCTGATGAGTCCTCCTGTGTGTCTCTCAGGCGCTGTCCCGGGTCACCCCCAGCGGCCTCCAGTCTGCTGCCCCTCGGTGAAACCCCCCACCAGCCTGTGCACCATGGAGGCCTGGACACGCACCACCTGCTGCACACACACTCTCTCACACACCCACTAGGATCCACAGGACTCTCATCTGACACACACAAGCACCAACACAGGAGTCTGGCTGCGCCTCTGTTCAGCCGGCAGAAGAAGAGATGCACAGCCAGAAGCCAGCAGGGGTGGAGCTCACACCGTGGGCAGAGTAGCAGCCACAGCCCCCCCCTCAGTGAAGCCATGGACTCACCCCTCCCTCCTCAGCATGTTGCTCTTTGAGTTTGAAGCTTTGCTTCTTGTGTCATTAAACAGTAAATAGTTCCCAGCCGGCTGGTCGGCCTCACACAGGTCTGTACATATGGGCGCGTTGCGTTTGGTCAGGGGGGCGGTCAGGGCAGCGGTCAGGGCAGCGCTCCACTCTGTGTCACTTAAGAGGCTTCAAATCCAACAGTGGGCTCTTTGTCTTATTTTCTCTGAGCCGTGAGGCAGCAGGTAGAGGGCGGTGGCGGCCGGAGGCCCGCGCTGTGGCTCAGGTGTGCTCAGGTACGCTCAGGTGTGCTGAAGCCGTGGGCAGCACTGTCCCACTGCGCCGGGAGGCTGAGGGGAGCCTGTAGGGCCGTCCACGCCATGCGGCCGTGTTTGAACCCAGTGCATAGTTACGTGGCTTTGTGTGTCTTTGTGTGGTTCTGTCTTAGGGTTGTACACACTAAGGGGTAGGGGGTGGTTATGTTATGGTAGTCTTCTTCTTTTTATGAGGTTTTAAGCTCCTCTGGGTTCTCCAGTTTCTATCTGCTTCCACTCTGAATGATGCAAACACAGCCTTCTTTCTTTTAGGCGCCATTTGGTTCAGCCTGTTGTTGTTTTTCGCCACATAGGCCACAAACCGGTCAGATTTCAGTTGAGTTTGAAGCCTCCTCTCCTTTTTACTGGGTATGGACCATTTCACAGCTCCTTTCTCCTTCATGTCAGTCACCTCTCATGCCCATTACAGTCCAGATGTGTAGATGCGTCCTCATAAGGCTCTGGTGGCTCAGCAGCCCCCTCTGGACTCCACATGTGCAGTGGCTGGCCTTCAGGAGGACCCCCCCCTACAGGCCACGGCTTTGCTGTGGATGAGCTGGGGTGGACTGGTTCTCAAAGAGTCCGACGCAGCCGGTCTGAGTGCGACAGCTCTGCCGGTCATCTGTGGACCTGCTCCTGGTCAGCAGGGAGCCACGGGGCCGGCGCTGCCTGCTGACCAGCATGGTGGAAGCGGGGGAGGTTTTTTCAGTGTCCCAGTGGGCCCCGGGCAGATTTTCCGTAGAAGTTTGTGTGTGGTCGGCTGTGGGGAAGGCTGGGCCGTAGCTGTGATGTGTACATGTTGTGTAGTTGTGTAGGAGGCTCCGGCTCAGGGACTGGCCTCCTCCTTTAGAGGGTTTTATTTCTCATTGTTGGGTTGGGTTTTCTTCTCCTTTGTTTCTGAGCAGACTTCACCTGTGGGCTTCAAAAGCAAAGAGATGGGTTAACTTGTGTGTCTCACTGTTTATTCCACCTTCCACGGGGCAGTTTCTCTCATGACTGCCTCATTCACTCATCTGGACGCCACGTTCCCTCGGGTGGCTTCACGGGGACTGTTCTTTTCACTCCCAATCCAAGACTCTTGCCCCTCATTTGTAATGCCACTGTATTGTGTATTTTAAAATTGTGTAAATAAATGAATAAGTACTTGTATGTGTGGCTTTTCATTGGCACAGCCAGCTGAGCTCTCTACTGGGGGGGGGGCTGCCGTTCTTCAGCTTCCAGAGCTCATGTCAGAGCCTAGCATCTGGACTTTGTCAGCTGGAGAGGAAGGGACATTTGCAGGGGTCAGTGGGCCAAAATGGCACATCCGGACCAGGTGGAAGGAGTTCAAGGAGAAACCCGAATGGCAAAGAGAGCAGAAACGCCTGCCAGCCCCCGCAGAGGCTGCAGGAGCTGACC